CGACAGTAGTGATGGAAAGAAAACACAAGACGATGTATACAAAAAAATATGTCATCATGGGATGACCGATGACTACCCTCCAAAACAAAAAAAAATAAATAAAAAATAAAAAATAAAAAAAAATCCTTGGAACAGTCCATCGAAAATAAAGAGAGAAGCAGCAAAAGGGATTGAAAAGCGCAGAGGAGTAGCTCGTTTAGGTACCACAAAAATAGCAACTAAAAGGTGGGGCAGGGGAAAGGTGACCGTAGATGGAAATGGCAAAAACCAAAAATCCGAGGGGGGGAAAATCTAAAAATATTATTATATCAGCGTGATCTCTATGAATAGATCTCTCCCTGGCATCGTACACCGTGCCACGTTTGATTATTTGTACGCCAGAGTGGGAGGAGGAGAAGTGCCACATCAACGATGTAACAGGATTGGACGTATGAACCCCTGCTGCCTCACACGTTGTCATCCCTCTTTCCTTGCCCCCTGCCCTGCCTCAATAAAGAAAGTTAATTAGAAGGTGTTTGTTTCAAAAAAAAATATTATTTTATTGATTTCCTTGTACCGATTTCCTTTTCTTGATTTTTAGGAAACCAACCAAACGGGCCCAAAAATCAGTTTCCTAGAGTCACCGTTTTCTGTCTCCTTCTTCTTTTACACGTCGTCTCATTTTCCGCGCGAAAACCCTAGATGTTGTAGATAAGTATCTCTAGCTAACTATCTCAACCCCCCATCACCACCCATCATCATCATCATCATCATCGTCATCCTCCTCCTCCTCCCCTATAAATAAATTACCCATCGCTCACCCCTCCCTCACCCCCAATATCCAAAACAATCCAACGGCCAAGTCCCCGACGAATGACCCCGCCTCCGCCGCCGCACCCCCCTCCAACCTCGTCGTCCCAACAGTGAAATGAGACAGCCGCGTGTGGCGCGCGCTCCCCCTCCCCTCCGTCGCTCCGAACCCGCGTCCCTCGCCCTCGCTCCTCCGGCGCCGCGCCCTCCTTGCTTGGCCGCTGCCGCTCCCTCTCCAAGCGCTTTACTCCCTCCTCTTCTCGACTCCTTCCTCGCCTCTCCCTTTCCGCTCCCCTCCCGTCCTTCCTCTTCTTCCCTCCGCCCTCCCCTCCTCGCCTTCCTCTTCCTCCCCTTCCCGTCTCTGGCACGTCCCCCCTCTCCCCCGGACGGGAGCGGCCCCTCGGCCTCCTCCTCCGGCGTCCTTCCTCTTCCTCTCCCCTCCGGGCCCCCAAGTCCGTCACCCTCCTCAACCCCCTCCCGGCCTGGCGGTCTCCCTCCCCCCCTCGCCGCGCCCCCGCCTGCTGCCGTCGCCCGGCCTGTCCGTCACCCCACCTCCCTGACCGTCCTCCTCGCCGGCGACGACATGGTCTCCCCCTTCTCCGTCAAGAACCTCTCCTCCGAGCTGTTCCTCGCCGACGCCCAGTCCGGCGTGCTGTCGCCCTGGTCCCTCCTCAGCCCCCTCCTCGCCTCTGCTCCTCCACCCCCACTCCCCATGGCCTCCCTCCGCTCCGGCGCCTCTTCTACTCCCTGACCTCCTCCCCCTTCGCGTCCTCGCCTTCGACGTCGCCACCAACGCCTGGACCAAGATCCAGCGCCCGATGCGGCCGGTTCCTCCGCTCCCGAGCCTGACCGTCCTCGACCAGAAGCTGGTCATGGTGGCGGCGGTGGGAGAAGAGGAGGCTGGCGGTGCCGAGGAGCGTTAGGGTCTGGGAGCTGCAGCAGCAGGCGACGAGGGGGAGGGTGGGTCGAGGCCGAGAGGATGCCGGCGAGTTCCACAGGCAGTTCGAGGAGGCGAGGCGGGGGAGGGGGTTCGAGTGCGGTCGGCAGCGGGGGGTCCTGGCGGTGACGGTGGGCCGGGGTCGGCGGACGTGGGGCGCTGTTCTTTCCGGCGGAGGATGGACGTGGCCCCCCGGTGCCCGTCGTCGTCGTCGGCGGCGGGGGGCTGAGGGGGCTGGCGTACGAGCCGAGGCTGGCCACGCGCGCTGGGCTGATTGATGCGGCCGCGGCGGCTGCGGCTGTTTGATCAGGGTCGACCAACGGGTAGTTAGTTAACGGTCAGTTAGTTAGGTTAGTTATATGCTGGTTGGCGGTTGTAGCTCATAACTGGTATGTACGTGGTACCGTACGTGTTAGTAACATTAATTGCATCAGGTATGTCTTTTTAGGGTTTCGTTGGTTTACTTGTGATTTAGCTTTTGTTAGTATGCATGGATACATTATTTTTCTTGATGCTTTTTATTGTATAATAATTGGTAATGTGATTTTAAATTAGCATGGAAACATTACTTGTTCTTGATGCTTTTTTATTGTGTAATTGGTAATGTGATTTCAAGGTAAGATATAGCGTGAAGATGTTATTGTTGCTTCTTACTTTCTACCAACTTGAAGACTACTGTTTTGTAACAATTCAACTTTTTATTTATTTATTAGTTTTGTAGATAAAGTTTTTTTTTTTTGACAAGGCAAAAAACATATTTATACCTAAAAGGTAATTGCAACTGCTACTACTGTGTTAAACTACTTTCATGCATGCTTCATATGAGAAAGAGAAATAATGTGTTGATGACTCATCAAGGAACAATTTTCTCTCTTATGGTGGAAATGGTTTAGAAAAGTATACTATATATAGATAAATATCACCCTTAACTAAAATCAGTAGTAAGATTAATAGACTTCTATTATATATCACCAAATGACAAATCTATATATGTGGGAGTTAGTTGTATCCACAAACAGCCAGCACTTTGTCTGTGTTTCTCTTTCCATACGCTAATTGTATGCTTTTGACTTTTGAGGTTGATCTGTGTTTGGCTTTCATGGAGCAAATTAAAGAAAGCATCAGGGGAGCTTTAATTATTAGTTAATTTATCATTTGATTAAAAAAAACTGAAAGAAGGATATATATTTTCTTTCCTCCCAGCTAGGCAAAATTTATATACATGAGTACTTGACACATGGAGATCTAAAATTCCTCTGCTTTTTGGGTGCAATGCAAGGGAAGAGAGGAATAATTCAATTCATCTCCCACCTTTTGGTAACATGAACGAAGTCCAATGTAGGCACCTATTTTTATTTTTGGATTTTTAACAAATATTTATTCCTTTTTTTTTGTGGTATTTTGACAATAAGATGGAGTTTTCCCTGAGAGGAAAGAAAATACCCTTCTTTCACTTATTATTATTATTATTATTATCACATGATAAATTAGTAAACTAATAGAAAGACCATGTTGGTCTCGATCTGTAGAAATCATTTATCCAGATATTCCAATTGTAATTTAATTTCTGTTCAGAATAACTGCAAACGTTGTTAGTCTTGGATATATAATGGATGTTGAAAAATAAATTAATGAAAGATTTTGTTTGCTTTTGGCCATTGACTACCATGTGACATTATTAGATAATCTTAAGCCCAGCGATTTGCTGCAACTAAGACTAGTATAGAAATATTTGTTGATTATACATGGTAAAGGCTGAGTTTTCATAGTTGGATTCATGAGCTGAAAGTCTCCCCTCATTCGAAGGGGAAACATTTTATTTGAGAAGACTATACGTACGGAGCAGTACTTAAGTTTGGAAGGGCTAAGACAATGATCAATATCAAATAATATCGGAGGAGATAAAAGTAGCATGAGATTGTTTCAATTGTGATTGTTCAAAGGAGAAGGATTCAATTAATGCAGATAGAACACGGCAGATGTTTCCTTAGTGACTGGTCATGTAGTTTCCGGCGGAGGGAGTGGATGTGGGCCCCGCGTAGGGCTGTCCATTTTACGCCCGGAAAACCGGGCCAGGCCGGGTTCCGGGCCCGGGTCCGGGTGGCCTCAGCGGCGCCCGGCCCGGGCCCGGCCCGGCCCGGTACAGTGCGCCGCCGGGTCAACGCCCGGGCCGGGCAGCCCGGGACCGGAGCCCGGCCCGGGTGGCAACGGTCACCAGTGGTGACCGTTGCCGGAATTAGGCCGGCCCGGCCACAACGGTCACCATTGGTGACCGTTGTGTGAAAACGACCGGACCAGCCCGGCCCGGTAACAACGGCCAGATTGGCCCTTTGACCGTTTTGCCCCCAAAAACGGTAAAAAACGGCTATTTTGTGAGGTTATTTTGGTCATTTACCTAGGGGGCTGGTTCTATAAATAGAGGGGGGTTTCCACTTTCGTTTCTCAACACCAAAAATCATCTCTTCATCTTATACTCTTATACTCTGCTATATATCTTATACTCTCTTATTATACTTTCTCAATGCCAATCCCGCAAATGGCTATCCGACATCTGATTTATTGAAGAGCCAAAACATATCTCCGATCCTGAATTGAGTCCTCCTACTATGAAGTTCCTCCATACCGAAGTTAATCTTTGAATCAGGTGACACAAATCTGCACCCGAAGACTCCGAAACGCCAGATCCGGATGTGGTGAGAATTTATTACGAGAGATCGACGATCAACAAGGATGAACACGGGTAAGTAATCCTCACCCAGAAGGCTTAAAGTGTGCTTTGTGCGGGCAAGATTTTTCAAGCTCATCATAAGAGACGCGCACCAACCCCATCAAACGTCATTTAGATAAACATCAACAAAGGCACCTCGCTAAGGTGAATATAATAATCCATGATTCAATCCTCCTCTTCTGGTAGTGCTGTAGTGAACTATGACGTCAGAGCCAGAATGCGTATCAGTTTATTCATATCTAAAAACCTTACCTTTTAAATTAGTAGAAAGATGATGAATTTGGAAGATCATGTTTTAGAGATCGGTTTTATCCTGCATTTAAAAATTTTCTCGTCAAACCTGCAACCGTGATATTTTAAGAATATTATACGCAGGAAACATAGAAAAATAAACTTTCTTAATTTTAAATTTAAAAGCTCAAATTTCTTGTAACTTCTGATAATTTGGACATCTAAGCAGCAAACTGATATTTATGTATCACAGCACACTGGATTGATGAGAAAATGCAAATGTTATAAAAGAGCTATGTTTCTTTTATTGCAATAGAAATCACATACTGGTGCTAATTGTTGCAATTATAATAATTGAGAAACTTAATGAAATTAAAAATTTCCAAGCAAAGAATAATTTCTCTTTCACTAGATAAGTGCAAGTAATTAACAATATAGCTGTTGATTTTATCAAGATTCATCTTTATCATTTACCATGTCATGGTGATCTTTTTCATACTAGGTGCATCCTGTCATAAATTTAAAATTTAAATTGTTAAGTGGCATTTACTAGAAATTAACCCCATGAATAGAAAAAGGTTAGAACAGTTGCTTAACATGCATAGTGCTTCTGAATAAAAACCTTAAAAGATGGCAACAATTTTGTAAAAGAAAAATATATAAAGGCCTAGCTAATTCCAAGATATATGATGCATAGGTGGATTCCACATAATGCAATGTTAAAGTGTAGCACATAGAATATAAAGACATGTATAACTGATTTTAATAAACTATTATGCTTCTAGTTCTAGTTTCTGGTAGCACTTAATGGAATAACATGAGATGAATGGTGTTATATGTATTTAAATGAAATGTTACACAGTTTTTTAATGATGCTACAAATGTTATTATCTGTGTTGTTATTATCCTAACCATTACTTAAGCCTGCTTTACAAATGTTTAAATATCAAAATTTTTTTTGATAAATATCGTTTTGATGCTAACTTTTGGACTATGGTTTTTAAAATTGGAGAGCAATTTAATAAGTAATTTTAGGCCTATTCGCTCATGATTTTTGTTGGGAGTTCTGCGTTTTATTGATCCATGCTTGAAGGATATTGGCCTTCGAAGTTTGTTACAGTCATTGTATATGGTGGAACATGGTTATAGACTTTAGTATGCATGCGAACCACCTGAATGCCTACACTCATCATTTACTTATTAGAAATTATTTTCAAACTTTATATGGGCATGAGTATGCAGCCCTAGACATGGTTGTAGCCTGCCCCACAACACGTCTGCCCAGCTTCGGTTTCTTCGAGCTCATCCCGAGCCCCCAGAGGTAAAAGTGATAAGTTGATAGTTATTGCCAATGCGTAGCCGAGCTAACTGGCTGCGATCTGGACGTGTGATCGTCACATCGGAGCCGTTTCTGAAATTAGATGAATATTTTTCTGACTTCTTTAGTTAGATGATCAAGGTAAATGCTTTAGATCATTTTGCCAATGGTGCCGAAAGTATATGGATCAGTTTCATATCTATACTTTCCACCATGAGTTCGCTGATTTACTAACAGTGCAGGTTTCGACGGTAGCTTCGGAATCCGCCTTCAGACAGCAGGTCGTTTGATCGACGATCACAGGACATGCTTGCGATCCATATCACCTTACAAGCGGTGCCACTGTGCCTACAAGATTGGTCTGGAGGTACGAGATAGCGAACGCAAGACATCGCATCAGCAATGCTGGGGAATTGAACATAAATTTAAAAGAATTGGGACTAGCCAGATAGATATAAAGAATAGATTGTAGTTTTTATATCTCTAGCTTACATTTGTAAAGAATTTATTTGGAATATTATTACAAATGATAGTCATATAGGTGAGTAGTTGCCAACCTAGTTGCTGCGAGTTTACTTATCTATGTGTTGATGACGAGTTAATTTCCAAATAAATTTGACTTGTAATTCTGTAACTGATTTATCAATTATATAATAAAGAATATGTTTTTATCATTATCTTAAATTTGTATTTATGTCATATTTAAATATTATAAATTATTGTTTGTTATTTTTCTTGTCTGTTGTTATAATTTATAAGTGTTAAAAATGAAAAAAGTTTGTGAAAAAAAGACACCCGGGGCCGAGGCCAGAACCCGGCCCGGTCGGACCCGGGCCCGGGCCCGGACCCGGCCCGGTGTACCCGCGCCGGCCGGCTCCCGGTTTTGCCCGGCCCGGGCCGTTATTTCCGGGCCGGGCCGCCCGCCTGGACAGGCTAGCCCGCGCGTGGCCGTTTCGTTCGGCCGCCCGGCTCTGAGGCGCGCTGCGCTACTCCGGCCGCTGGGCTGATGATTCCCGGCGGCCGGCGGTTTGAGGGCTCAACGGTAGTCACCGTTAACCGTCTAACCTTAGGTCTTAACGTTAGTCTCTCTCTCTCTCCCTCCTAGCTCATACTATTATCTCAGTTACTATGTATATGTACTTTTTTTTATTTGTTTACACACACCAATGTGTTAGTAACATAACCATGAGGTATGTCTTTCCTCGGTTTTTTGTTGGTGCCATTGCTTTATATATATATAATATTATTACTATCACCTCAACCCTATATACTCACTTCATACTATTGATATAGTAGATGAGAGAGACGAGACGACGACAGAGCCAAGAGAGACGAGAGAGCAGAGAAATATGGAGACAAACTTTCGCATACCAAGTTTGCATTGAACTTTGGTAGTGAGGTTGTCAAATCAACCCCCTACATCACACCTTGAAATGGAAGCCTCTTTTTAAAAGTATGTTGAATAGTGATTGAGGCCTTCTCTATCAAGTGTGTGGATGTAGGCGTGGGGATCTTGGCCACCTCACTTACCAAGTTCGAATGGAGAAACTTAGCTACCAAGTTTCTCCATATTTCTCATATATATATATATATATATATATATATATATGATATATATATTATATATATATATATATAATATTATATATCATTATATAACTGGTATATATGAGTAGTAGTTAGTTAGTATATATATTTATTATATATATATTTATATAATACTATACTGAGGATAATATATATATTATAATATAATATATATAATTATGATATATTGTGGTTTACTTTGTGACTTAGCTTTTGTTAGTTTGGATACATTATTTCTTGATGCTTTTTATTGTATAATTGGCAATGTGATTTTAAGAACAATTTTTCAAAACAGCCCCATTTAAATTTTTATTTTTCAAAATCGATCCTTTTTTTTATTTATCAAAACCGACCCGTTTTTATGATTAGCAGCCTAATCACCTTCCAAATAGTCGGGGTTGCCAACCCCGACTATTTAGGACATAAATTTCCAGGGTTTAAGGCTTCTAATTAGGGTTTAACACCCTCCTAAATAGTCGGGCCGGGTTGACAACCCCGACTATTTAGGAGGGTGATTAAGCTGCTAATCAAAAAACGGGTCGGTTTTGATAAATAAAAAAAAACAGGGCCTATTTTAAAAAATAAAAATCTTTTTGAGGCTGTTTTGAAAAATTCTTCTGATTTTAATTAAGGTAATATGTATGATGGTGTTATTGTTGCTTCTTATTTTCTACCAACTTAATTAAAAACTATTGTTTTGTAATAATTCAACTGTTATTTATATATTTGTTAGTTTTATAGATAAATTTTCTTTCTTGACAAGGCAAAAGGCATATTTGTACCTAAAAAGTAATTGCAACTGCACTACCGTACTTAAACTTGTTGTGCGCAACGGAAATTTCGGCAGAGTTTCTGGTGCACAATAAGAGAGAAAGATGCGATTAAGAATTCACCGTCTCACCCAAGGAGACAAAGAATCCTGAAGCGGATATCATCTAACCAAGGTGAGATATCTGGCCTTCCTCTCATCAGTTCTAGCGACTGATCCTGTCGAGGATCCTAAAAGCTATTACAATGGCCCAAACTCAAACAATTTTACGTGGTTCGGCAAACTGCTACGGTCCACGGGGCAAGGAGGGCAGATCTAGAACTATTAGAGAGGAAAGAATACAAATAGGTGTTACAATCTCACAAAATAACCCTCAAACTAACTTCTTAATCTCTTCCATCATAAGCGCTGAGAACCCTCTGTTTCGTGCAACCCGCTTTGCTGTCTTGCACATCGCCTCCAAGCCAAGCTCTCTGCTTCGTACTGCTTCTCGTGCAGATCGCACAAATCGAGTCTCTTGCTTGCACTTTGATCTTCGTAGCCCCAGCAAAGAATAATCATTCCTTTGGGCAGAGCGGCACAAAATTTCTCCTCCCTGGTATTGCTCAACGCAACAAAACCCTAGGCGTTGCTATTTATAGCCTAAGCGGGTAAGTGATGCAAAATCCGAGCCCTCTTCTTATGTCCATGATTCTGCACCCTCCCTCCAGCGCGGTTTCCTCTCTACTCACGCCGCTTTGTGCGTTCCCCACGCAATTCTTCTTTCAACGCACTTCACATGAATTCATTCATCGTAGCTGTTGTATTGCTCAAACTTTGTAGCCCCCACGTGTCCTGCTGGCCATTATCCTTTCACACGTGTTCACAAAACTACTTTCATACTATGAGAAAGAAAAATGTGAGGTGCTATATTTTCTTAACATTTTAAAAATTGATGACTCGTCAAGGAACAATTTTCTCTCTTATATATGGTGGAAATGGTTTAGAAAAGTATAATACAGTTAAAATGTTATTCTTAACTAAAATCACTAGTAAGAATAGACTTCTGTTATATCACCAAATGACAAATTAACATCTTCGATAACTTATTTAAAGGAAGCTTCAGGGGAGCTTTACTATAGTTAATTTATAATTTGATTAAAAAATAAAAGCGAAAGAAAAAGGAGATTTACTTTCCTCACGTACAGGGAAAATTCTATACATGAGTACTTGGCTAAGATCTGACACATGGTACCGTTGGCATGCGGAAGAAAGGAATAATTCAATTCATATATATCCCACCTTTTGGTAACATGAAGCAGGTCCAATGTACGTACGTAGGCGCCTAGTTTTCTTTAATTTTGGATTTTTAACATGTTTATTCCAAATTTTTTTTTTTTGGAATTTTGACAATAAGATGGATTTCTTTTTTAGAATAACTGCGAATAATGTTGTTAGTACACGGAGATGGATGTTGGAAATGACTTTTTTTAAATAATAATAAAAAAGAACCCATTGACTACCATGTGAACAAGGCTAATTTAATATTTCCCCTAATTTGCATGTGAGAAAATGATAATTGCATTACAAAATTCATACTACTCTTGTACTGTGACTAACAAATATGTCAGGTTCTTGCTTGAAAATTGTCGAGAACAATTCTGAGTCGGTATGGACCCTACATTTTTGTTTGCGTGAGTACAGAAATAGTATAAGTTTTGTAATGTAGTTATCATTGCTCTTTGCACTTGTATACCCTCCCTTATTTTTCTAAGGTACCGTTTGGCAAAAGGTTAAGTGAGGGGTTAAGGAGACTTAACCCCTTTTTAACCTGCCAAACACAATAAATCTATATAAGGGTTAAAGTGAGTTAACCCTCCATAATTTTCCAAACATAAAAAATATAGAAGGGTTAAAATAAAACTTATTTAACGGGTTAATAATTTAGTCCTTCAGATTATCAAATGGGCTAAGTACATTAATCATTGTCTTTAACCCCTCTTCATTAACCCTTTGCCAAACGGGGCCTAAAAGTTGTATAAAGATGTAGATTTTCATCTAAATTTCCCCGCGTGACACTTACGAGCTAATTTTACAACAAGTCGTTGCTAACAATATTTGTTGAATTTTTACTTTTAAGCCATAATAATTTTATTTTAAAGCATAATGGGGAGTAGGTTCAAAAGCAGTGGCCCGATAGACCCGATAAGAGAGGGCCGCTGATGAGTTTGGTAAAGTTTTTTATAGGAAGCCGAAAAACCCTAAAATCTATGGCTTCTCCTTTCTCAGGTCAGCGTTTGTTCAATAATTCAAAAAAAAAAAATTGAACTCTTTTCTTCTTCTTGATTTTGATATCGACATGAAGACGGAAAAAGATTTTTATTTTTATTTTTGAAGATTTTAGGAGAAATTAACCTTGCTCTTGTTGTTGTTATCATCAATCTTGCAGATCAATCGTCCCTCTTAGAGAACCAACTTGAAGTTGCAAACTCCATAATCGAAGTTTATCAAGCTATAATGGCTTCTCCTTCCTCGGGTCAGTGTTTTCTTCATCTTCTTGATCTTGATGTGAACATGGATATGCAAAAGGATGATTTTTTACACGAATTCAGTTGAATTAACCTTGTTCCTGTTGTTATTCTTGAATCTGAGTTGTTGTTATCATCAATCTTGCAGATCGATTGTCCCTTTTAAAGAATCAATTTGAAGTTAAAATGTCGATAATCGAAGTGTATCAAACTATAATGAAGAGAAACCAGTTGAATTCTACACTGCTCGATGACATAGGGAACAAAATCAACAGGCTAGATCAAGCCCATGAACCCATCAACTCAATTAGGAGTGATTACCACACTTTGTTGTCCTCTATTGTCAACAATCTTCGAGAGCAATCCAGAACTCCCCCATCCAATGCAGTCGAGAGCTTGGAGCACCAAATGTTGATATCTAAGGGCTTAGGAATTGAACTGGATGCATTTGTGGATGTATTGTGTATGATCCAGAGATTGAGAGAAGAGGGATCCTGCTGCCCAGAGAAGTTGGCTGCTGTCCTGTCTCTGTTCATGTCCTCGTTAAGTTTCTGGACCCATGCTGGGATTCACCCAATAGCTGATTCTGATCATGCTCTCAGAGATCACTGCCTCTCTTTACTGATGCAATTGAGCACCTGCACAAACTCGGTGGATGGAGCATCGAGCAATGTCCTTGACATTGAGAATCCTCCCCGTGTTAGTCATGTGGCTCCTATCGGCAAAACCACGCCAAAGGTCTGTTCGTCCTCTTTCTTTAAATTGATTTCTACTGATTGCTTAATGATGTCTTAGATCATTATGATATTTTAACATCTAGATGTTAGTGTTACTAGTTTGTGAAGAGTAAGTTGGACCTTAGGTAAAATGCTCAATAATGAGACTTCGAAGACTAGTGCAATCATTAGGCATTTTGAATTGTTTATTATGTGGAGAGAGGGATGTGGATATGATGCAGGGGGAGGTACAAGGTTGAGAGATTTTAATTCAAATCCTCAAAGGTTTGTTCAAATTGTCATCCGCCCTGTTTGTCTTGATCGACCATGTTTGGAGTCCCAAAGACAAAATTGAAATGTAGTTTACCATACTTCTTCTAATAGACATCTCCTGCACGCTATGCATGCATACGCAATTCAACCTTGAGGTTAAAAATGATGAGAATTTGGAGGGATATATGTGTAAGTGGGGTAGTAAAAAGAGTTAGTGGTGGTTAATAGGTGATTATGGAGAACGTGGGGTGGATGGAGTTAAAGGTGGTATTTTGAAATGTCCACTATCCTTTTCATGACACTTAAACTATGTGTAAATTATGAGGACGTTTCAAGGAATTATTTGAATTCATGACTCACACAGGGGTAGACCAAAAAGTTAGGACCAAAAGGATGATACTTCTTAAATAAGAGTGATAGAGAAGATGAATGGTTGAGTTGATCTAAGGAATTTATACTAAAGATTTAGTCATTAATCATGATCGAAACATTTAGAAAACCCCTGCAAGATAAATTGTTTTAGATATATGAATTTCTGATGTGGGCAAGTTATTGTTTTCTTCTCACTTGCTGCATGTAGAAGAGAACTCAAAATAACTTGACTTTTAATTCTTTAGGCAGTCAGAATATCTTTGAAAATAATTAACCATCTGTCTTTTGATTTTGAATCTTCTATAGTGCATAGATGATTAACCAGTCTCTCAAGTCTTTATTAATGTGAAAACACCAAACTGAAATAAAAATAAGCTTCTTCCTTCGCTATCAATGGTGCCCCATCTTTTGGCTTGATACTATTTGAGATCATTCTTACTTGCTAAATCTGTCATGGTTCTTTTTTTCTCCCTCTCTCTTTGGCGACATTAAAAGAATATAGCTTGTTAGATATATTTATGGGTCTTGGAATAACATTGTAAATTCTTCTGGCCTGATAACTTATTAATTCCTTGATATTTTGCCAAACTAAAGTATAATTTCAAAGGGAATTCCCCTTCTTGATCAATGATCATCATTTATATGAATCAAGAAATGAGATAGTTTTTTAAACTACTGTAATCTGAAAAGAGTTTTTTAAACTACTGTAATCTGAAAAGAGTTTTTTAAACTACTGTAATCTTAGCTTTTCAGTACTTATGTGATGTGGAGAGAGTAGGGATGCACAAAAAAAATTAAGTGGGGAATTATCCATATCCTATAGGACAGATATGATTATTAAAATCTATAACCGATAGGATAAAGTTACATATATAGATATGTAATGAAATATCCGGGTCCATATCCAAATATGTGAATGTATGTTCATACAGTTGCAATAGGTTTAATCGTTAGACAATGGATTTAACATTTATTTTGATGATCAAAATATCTAATATTAGTTTTCAAATATAATGAACATATTTTTATACATTAATTTTGTATCATACAAACTATTTTTTTCAATATTATTTGTTATATGTTTTTAATTCGTTTGTATGTCTGCATATATCCGCATGTATATCCATATTTGTATCTGATTTGGTGAATATGGATATGAGTTTTCTTACCAAGGCATATCCGTATCCATATATATAATTGGTATGCGGATATGTATATGGTAAGTTACGTAAGTATCATATCTGAGCAAATGCACCCCTAAGGGAGAGGGACGTGTGTAACATACTACATAGGGAGAGGTAGAGGATTGAGAGATTTTTTATTCAAATCCACAAATGGACCTTTCAAATTATAAACCCACTATGTTGTAATTGAGCGATCATCATTGGACTCCAAAAAACAAAAGTTGAGGCACTCAGGCGAGGCGATATTGTACCTTAATACCTTGCATATTTCCGGGCGATGAAGGCTACTAAGGCTAGCGCCTTTTGGTGCCTCAAGAGCTTGCCTTGGCCCCTCAGATGCTCGTCTAAGGTGGGTGCACCAAGGAGTATAAAGTGTCAGCCTATGTTTTAAAATTTTGAGGGTATGAGAGGTGTTCGATAGACTATCTTTTTTGTTTCTTTTCTCTTAGTTGGTTTTTTTGCTATTTCTTGTTGTAATGTACCTTATTGCATGTATATACCATTCTAAAGACATGCCACAGTTTAAACGTTGAAAGTTCAAACTTTCTTGTTTAATTATCTATGTTAATAGGATCTAGTTGGTATTACCATTCAATATTTGTTACTACTTTATTTAGGTGGTTTGTCTTGTTAGGTATCATAAGTTGTGATTCAGTTGTAAAATAGTTTTCCAGTTGAGCATATTATTTGCAATGTTTATAAACTTCATAAATATTTATCAGTCTGGTTCAGTCATGCGATTTTTTGTTCTTGGCGCCTCTCATTTCAGGCAACTTAGGACCTCATTGCCTTGACCTCACCTTTCGCTTCTAAAACACCAAGTTGAAACAGCTTTGATTTTATTTGTCATGCTTCAAGTAGACACAAGATGAATGGTTTTGTACATCTATATGCAATATATTGAAGATTTAAATCTTTACTCATGATTGAAACATTTCGAAACCCCTGCACATAAAGTTATGCTAGAGCTGAAATTTTCTAAGCCGCACTCGATGCTCACTTTACACGTGTGAAAAGAGAACTCAAAGTCACTTTGCATTTTGATTCTTTAGAAACATAGATTATTTTACATTTGGAACTGAACCATTATTCTCTTGTTGTCAATGGTCATTTAGGGAAGCCCAACACTGGACCAGAAGGAAGATCTGGAGGCCAAGATAGATCGCATATTAAATATTGTGCATGAAAACGTGCCAAAGTTTGGCCTCTTCTTCTGCATGCTGGGTTATGTAATCATCTACTTGTAGCAAAAATTGGAAGAAATGAGAGCGACACAAGACTGCTAAATCTTTTACATGGTTGGACGGCGCTTATGATGTTACTTTTGCTTATCCATCCCTACACCCGGCGTCCTGCTGGAGTCCTGAGAGGTTTGCACTCCTCCATCTCTGGAGTGATCTTGGGATCAGGACTAGCTGTTTTCACTTATGCTTGTGCTCTGTAGTTGCGGATGCAGCAATTTGGAGAACAAAAAATTGTGCAATTCCTAACTTGATGATTGTTATGATACGCTGTTTGTATGAAACATCTTATAATGACTGCAATATCCGCTTACCTGTGCTTGAGCAGTTACTAGTTAGTAAATGCTTTGATTCTCTTTGAGCTTCCTGCCAATGCGCAGGATGTATAGGGCTCCAAATGCTTTATTTTGCAATCGTGAGAGTTCAGACTTAAATTGTGATTTTATGCGCTTTAATATTCATGGATATCAAAATCAAAGCAGTCTAAATCCACCGCTTCTCCCTTTTCAGGTCAGCTTTTGCTCAATTACTGTACTTATTTTAACCTCTTCTTCTACTTGGTCTTGACCTTGATATGAAAAAAAGATAAGATTTTTTTGACGGTTTTATAAGGAATAAACCTTGTACTTGTTATCATTCTTGAATCTGAAATCAACCTGCTTCATCTTTACTCAGCTCGGTGGTTGCTCAATTATTATAATTATCTTAACTTATTTTCATTGATCTTGATGTGGATATGACAATAGACGAGTGTTCTTCTGGTGTTGTTATCTTCAATCACGCAGATGGATCGCCCGCCCTTCTCACAGAATCAGTGGGAAGTTAAAAAGTTGATGATCGAACTTTATCAAACTATAATTAGGAAAAACCAGTTGAATTCTATACCAAGCTAGATGAGATACGGAACAAAATGAAGTTAGAGCAAGCCCATTATATGGGTTAGGATGCAATGTGTGTGTGTGTGTGTGTGTTGGGGGGGGGGGGGGGGTGGCTGATCGCTAGCTGATCACGCTCTCATTATTGCCTTCTCTTTTTTGGCACAATTGAACACCTGCTCAAACTCGGTAGGGCTGGAGCATCAAGCAAAGCCTACGATTGTTGAGAATCCTCCCCGGGGCAACATTGATCAAAAGGTTTGTTCATATTCTTTCTGTAAATTATTTCAATATATGCTTGCTTAATTATGCATATATTCATCATGGTATTTTGTGAAGAATAAAATCCCATGAGGATATTCCCCCCTTCCATCCATCACTCGTGTGCCACCGCCAGCCACACTATGACTTAAAAAATACAAAAAAATGATGAAATAAATCAACAAATTAAAAATAAAAAATTATCAAAATCACAAAAAAAAATAAAAAAAGAATCTATTAACTCTACATAAAATTAAGAATAAACAACATAAATCCACTAGTCATACAACTTTTTATCAAACTAAGCCAAATAATTCAAATTCTAAAAAAATAATCACTTACCTCAAACCTTGTATACTATCTTTAGAACCCACCGACCAATACGCCAGATGCCAAATGTTGGGAATATCGAAACATATCAAATCGAACCCGTTGCTCCTTCCGGTGATCTTATCGTTTGAAAAGTACGGCACAATAACAAGAAATCACCGCAAATAAAGTACTAAAACTTGCCAAGGACCAAATATTAAGAACAAAAGATGAGAAGAAGCAAGCGACGGATTCTAACGACAGGTTCATACGGGTCAACCGTGCACTAGTCATACCGTCACACTGTCCTACGGAATGCCATCTTACACACAAATTCTCACTTTTAAGATTAATTGAGAATGTATTACAGAAGTCTCACGAAAACTAGGGTATTAATCTCTCTGAATTCTTACATCTGAGATCTTCATCCTACACAAAACTCACCTTTTTTGTCTCTCTTCATGATGGCTATAATTCAACACACAACCCTAAAACGTATGTGAATATTATATATTAAGCTAATTCCCAGCCCAAACAGAATTGTCAATAAACTAATAATAGGAACGCCCAGCTACATAACGCAAGTCGACGACCGCTCCAATGCGCGGTCGACCGCACAGAACGGACAATACCAATAAAGTTTTGCAGTGTTTGCCGCTGCGGTCGACCGCCGAGCCAGTCACGGTCGGCTGTGAAAAGTCCAGAGACTTTCCAGAGCTTCGTGCACCTTGCCGTCGACCGCGCGCCGTATACATGCGCGGTCTGACCGATTGGCTCAATCTGACTGGTTTTCTCGTTTTTGATTCAGCTTCCGGCTTCAGCTTTAGGTCTACACACTTAGACTAACACGCAAGCCGCCAAACCCCCTTATTTTTTAGCAATTGCATTTTGAACTTGTCTTCTCCTAAGTTTTAATATCATTGATTTAATTTTATATGCTTACAAATTAGATATCGTATCTACCTCCTCTAACTTAAAAAAGATTTTTCTAAGTTTTAATTATATTTGGATTTAATTATTTTTATGCTTAAAATTAGATACTCGTATCTACTCCTCTATACTAAAAAAGATTCTAAGTTTTAATATATTTGATTAAGAAATCATATCTACTCCTCTATACTTTGAAAGAAGGGTTCAGGTTTTAATACATTTGATTTGTTGTACTGTTCATGATGCATAAACACTGTAGCATAAATAGGACCTTCAAGTATGGAAGAGCAGATTTGATTTACTGTTTATGCTGTAGCATGAACAGTAGCTTCGAGTGCAGAGATCTGGCCTTAAGTATAAACTGTAGCATAAACAACAGTAATTATTTGGATTCTCCTTTAAGAATGGAGGAGTAGATAATTTTATTTAGAATAAGAAATAAGTAACTTTTACTATTGCAACTTTTAGGTATGCCGAGGTGATTGTGATGCAGAGAGGTATATACGGATGTCACACACGGGGAGGAACCAGATAGAGAGATGTTAATTCTAATCCACAAATGGACGTGGTTTAAATTATATCCACCCTGTTCATCTTGATTGACCACATTTGGAGTC